TAAGTGTAAAGTAATTTTAGAAGTTTAGCTTGATAAAAATATAAAAGTACTCATTATATAAATAATACTTTAATATCCTCTTTAAAAAACGTATAACAAGAAAATGACATTCAAAGATTATATATATATATATATATATATATATATATATTATATATATATATATATATATATATATATATATATATATATATATATATATATATATATATATGTATATATATATGTATATATATATATATATATATATATATATACATATATATATATATATATATATATATATATATATATATATATATATATATTATATATATATATATATATATATATATATATATATATATATATATATATATATATATATATATATATATATATATATATTAATACTAATTGTCAAGTACTTGCCCAAGCGATATTACATTAACCTATGTAGCCATATATAAAAGAGTAATAAAAAAATATTAAACACTATTTTACCTAGGTAGTTGTTTTGTTATACGCAAAATGTCTCTAGTTTTATAAATTTTGTTTTCAAATAGAGTAATATTAATTTTCCAATTAGTTTATTCATCAAACATTATTCCTAGGATTTTAAGTGCAACATTTGAAGTCCTAAGAATAATATTTGAATAATTCTGTTTATTATATTGTTGTTTATAGTTAATTGAGGAAGTTACAAAGGCAAGTTAATTTAGATTAGTGATGAAATAAAATATACTTAATTTTTTTGATATTCAAAGAGATTTTGTTTGATTCGAACCAGCCATTAGGGTTTTCCAGCTCACGATTTACTGTAGAGAATATTGTTTTTATATTGGAATGGATATAAAAAAGATTAGTATCATCAGCGAATAGAAAAAAGTTAAGCATGTTTAAAGATAGGTAGATATCGTTTACTTAAATCAGAAACTTAGGGGTCCAAAAATAGAACCTTGAGGAACTCTACAGCTTATTGCTTATTAATTATGCTCCATTAGAAATGTAGCCGCTATTTAAAAAAAGTAGTCGATACATTAATAATTTGTTCTTTAACGTCGATAGTTTAGATAACACAATCCTACAATCAAATATTTAAATTAACATTTAAGTTTATTTTATTTTAGTAATCGATTATATCAAAATTTACAAAAAATGAACCCGAAAGTTGAAAAACACTTTGACTAGCACCAAGCCCTCTGTACTGACAATATTGTGTTGTTTTCAAAGCAGCTAAGAAACTTTGTTGATGAAACAAACTTTTCGAAACAGTTGACTGGTTGAGCATTGTTAGCTTATAGCAAAGAGTACTCCAGTAATGTTCACTTTGTATACAACTGTTTTCTATCAATGCAATGATTTGCTCGTTGTTTATTTAAGCATTGACTGTGTACCCAAAGCCGGCGCGATGGGGGTGTGTTGGGGAAGGGTGTGATACCCCTTTATCAATAATTTTTTTGTTCATTTAGTCGGCAATTTTGACCCTTTTTGACTATTTAGTCGGCAAATGTAGATCCTTTCAATAAGTTAGTCAGTAAATTTAGACAGTCAGTCGGTAAATGTCTTTATGGCAGTCGTCAAATTTTAAAAAACGAAAAATTTTTTTTTAGTTGAAAAAAGTTGTAATGGCACCCCCTCCACGTGACATCTGCTTGCACTGACCCTGTCTGTCCCTGAATGTTGTAAACTAATTTAGTCAAGGATTGTCTCTATATCACTTAAAAAATAAACTTGATGTAAGTCAGCAAATGTGCTGACTAACATCAAAAATCAGAACAAATACCGGTAGCACAGTTTTACTCGTGCTTTAATTTAAAAACATAAAGGTCCAGAGCAAAAGAGACTCAAGAAAACATTATCAAAATGCAACTATTAGATTTTTTTCTCAAAAAAGGTTTAGCTGGTTGTTCAAAACTTCTACGAAAGGTTGGCCTATAAAGAAGATACTTGCACCTCCGAGAAGTTGCCAACGTCAATGGAGAAAATGATCTTTAACCCTGGTATTTTTAGGATTACTTTATCTAAGCTAAAATAAATATGGATATTAATTCTATTCAAGCTTAATAGAAAATATCACAGCTTTTTTTTTGAAAGAGTTTGGTCTCATGAGAACAGGAAAGAGAACAGAGAAACCACTTGAAATGTTTAGGACATGATTAACGCAGATCTTTAGTTTTAACTTGGGAAGAGGACTGATTGCTTTAAAAACTAACGGAAGTTTTAGAGCGATAAAAAGGACTATTGATTGTATTGAATATTGTTTGGAAAAGCAGAGTTCGGCAAATGAGACCTCATATAAAAGATGACGAGATTCTGTTAGGAATGCTCTTTCACATATTTTTATTCTCTCGTTAAAACAAGGTATTTATTCTGAGAAACTTAAAATTGCGAGGATCATACCTTATTTTAAATCAGGAGACATTACTGATCTACAAGATCAATTTCAACAATCAAAAAAAAAAACTACAGACTAATTTTAAATCTCCTTGCTCATTTCAAATCTCCGTTATACGAATTGTGTATAATCGGATTTTGACTTTTCTAAATGTAGGTAATATTCTATATAATTAACAATTTTTTAATCATGCTAGGTAATTCAATTGACCATGCAATTAATAATATTGTTCATGATATTTAAAGCATTTGATAAAAATAAGTTTATCCTGGGAGTTTTTATAGGTCTTACCAGAGCTTTTGATACAGTAGAACATTCTTATGAAAAAAACTCAAAATTTGTAGTATTAAAAGTACAAACTTAGTCTGGCTCAAAAGTTATCTAAACAATAGAAAACAATATATATCATATGAAAAAACAATAGAAAACAATACATATCATGTGGAGAAAACGATATATATCATATGAAGAAGGAAGATCTGACTACATGACTATAAGATGAGGTGTTCCCCAAGGTTAATTTCTGGGTCCACTTTTATTTCTTATTTATGTAAATGATTTACATAAGTTTTCAAACATTTTAAACTCTGATCTGTTTGCAGATGACAAAAATTTAATTTAATCTAATGGAGATATCAACCTTTTATTTAAGTTATTAAACAAGGAGCTTTTAAATCTTGCAAAATGGTTTAAGCAAAAGATACGATAAAGAAATCATATCCAATAAAACTTCATAATTTATATATTGGCGATTCTAATTATATATTGGTAATTTGTAAATAAAGTGGAGAAAATTCAAGAACATTCTAAGGCAATTACGTGGTTTCCTTTACTAATAGTTTTTAATTATTTTAATTTTAGTTATGTATTAAGCGGTTTTTGTAATGCTGATTTTGTGGGTAGATATATTATATAAATGATGAGTTGAATTCAAGTTAATAAATAAATTTCAACCTATTGCACCTCCTAATATCGTGTGCAATCCTGTCCGCTTTCTCTACGCTATCTTTCTAACGCGACTACATCTGTCTTTCACTCTAACATATCTTCGTTCTTCCTAAACTCACTTTACTCTTGGTCCGTAGAGCGGGTTATGACGCTCCTTGGGGAGCCGAACCTGTCTTTGCGGGCCTTGGTAATGTGGCCTCTATATGGCAATTAGCCGGAGGAGGATAAACCACCAGTTTTTGGAAAAACCTATTTCAACCTATTGCACCTCCTAACATCGAGTTCAATCCTGTTCGCTTTCTTTATGCTATCTTTCTAACACGACTACTTCTATCTTTCACTCTAACATATCTTCGTTCTTCCTAAACTCACTTTACTCTTAGTCCGTAGAGCGGGTTATGACGCTCATTGGGGAGCCGAACCTGTCTTTGCAGGCCTTGGTAATGTGGCCTCTATATGGGAATTAGCTGGAGGAGGATAAACCACAATACCAATTTTTGGAAAGAAAAGAAGTTTTGTTTCGAGCGAGAAAATTACAACCTAACCGGGCATGGATTCAAATATCAAATTATTGGATATGTTTGAAACGTTTGATAGAACACTGGACGCTGCCGAGAAACTGTACCTTTGGCAAAGAATCTGGCTCCGAAGAATTTTTTTCGATGTGTTAAACGTGGGAATAAAGGACACGTGGCTGCAAAATGCTTAATGAAACAGGGAAACGAGTGCGGGAGCGAGGAATGTGTGCTACTTCGTTCCTGAACAATGGTGAAATTAGCGCACTATCTATTATTCATCTAAAAGTTAATGGTTTGTTAGCAAAAGCTATGGTAGACACGGGTTGTTCAAAGACAATTATACATCAAAAACTGTTGTCAAGAAAGCAACATAAACCCCAAAGTCCTTAAAGGTAGTAACTTTTGGCGGTAAATTTCATCAATGTAATGGATTAGCGGCTGTCACTATTGAGGTTGATGGTATTCAAATACAAGACGAAGTTATTTTAGTGGATTTTCAACCGTTTGGAGTTGGTATGATGCTCGGAATGAGTTCCATTAAATTGCTAGGAGTTTTTATTTCCCCGTCATGAATAGCAAAGTTTGGGTTCGGCTTGTGTGAAATATCACTCTCAAAGAAAGATAAAGCCAATAAAATTGAAATTAAAAAGCAAGATCATGAAGCAATATTTAATGGTGTCGAATAGAAAGTTAAAAGAAAACGGAGAGATGGAGAAGGCCCCAACCAGTTGGTTAACAAAGTTGCCCAATTCAGCATACCAAAATATGTAAGAGCAGAATATGAAAACGAACTACGGGATTGGATCAATCGTAAATGGTTAATTGAATATGACGAAAATAAGATGGGACCACCCAAAGGGCAAATTCCCTTAATGGCTGTTACTCAATGAAATAAAGATAATTAAGTCAGACCCGTTTTGGACTGGAATAAAGCTAACAGTTTTATTGAAACGTATACAAGAGATGCAGATGTATGTGTTGAGAAGCTAAGGAAATGGAAAAGAATGGGAAAGAAACCAGCAATTATTGATTTATGCAAGGCTTATCTCAAATTAAAAACTGAAGAATCTCTTTGACCAATCCAAATAGTGGTTTTTCAAAACAAAAGGTATTGTTTGATACGGCTTGATTTTGGATTAAACGTTGCTCCAATGATCATGAAATCTGTTGTGAGTGCCATTATTGATCAAGATGAATTGGGAAAGAGAGGAGCATCCGCTTACGTGGACGATACTTTTGTCAATAAGGAAGTAGTGAGTCTCGATTATGTCAAAAGATATTTTGAAAAATATGGTTTAGAGAGTAAAGAAGGTGAACAGATTGGATATAATGGGGTTTGTATTTCGGGATTACGTGTGTACAAGGTTGGTAGCAAGTTGACCTGGTCCAGGGAGAATCAAGTCGACGCAATCCCGAAAAAGTAAAGTAAAAGAGTAGTGTTTTCCGTTTGTGGGCAGTTGGTAGGTCATTTACCAGTATGTAGTTGGTTACGTGCAGTTTGTAGTCTTTTGAAAAGATGAGTGGTTAGTTTGACAAAGGGTTGGGACGATAAAGTTTGCGATGAAAACTTAAAGCGTGTACTTCAAGAGGTTTATGATGAGATTGCAAAGTGCAATCCAGCTTATGGTGATTGGGCTGTACATGGTGACGAGGGGAATGTGTGGGTTGATGCAAGTTCTTTGGCAAGTGGTGCAGTTATTCAAGTTGGTAAAACTACTGTAGAAGATGCAACATGGCTACAAAAAGAAATGTCTGAGGATTACATAAACATGGCAGAGCTGGATGCTGTAAGGCATGGAATGAATATGGTTTTGACGTGGAAATTAAAGAAAGTAACTATCTTTACTGATTCCGTGACAGTGTTCCATTGGGTCTCTGACGCTCTCACTGGTAAGTCAAGATTGAAATCAAAAGCAATAGGCAAAATGTTGATTTGAAGAAGATTAAACGTTCTGCAACAATGTATTGAAGAATATGGTATTAATGTGAGTGTAAAACTTGTTCCTTCAAAAGACAACTTAGCTGACGCATTGACTAGAGTTCGAAGTAGATGGTTGAATAAATTGACGGAGGCTAAGCATTCGAGTAATTCTGTTGGAGCAGTATTTGCAGAGGCTGAATCCATTTCTAGCATACACAAGAGAACTGGTCACTTTGGAGTGAATCGCACTCTAAACTTTGTTCGTAAAATAATTTTAACTGCTACCAAAAATAACGTTAGAGAAGTAATTAAAAATTGCAAACCATGTCAGTCAATAGATCCAGCACCTGTACAATGGGAGAAGGGAAAATTGAGCGTTAAAGAAAAATGGGAAAGAGTGGCCATGGATATCACAAATTTTGGCACAGAAAAATTTTTAACTCTGGTTGATTGCGAACCTTTAAGCACTGTGGCTTTCAAGTTCATACGGAAGTATTGCCATTACTCGAATACTCCGCCTTATCTTTTGCGAGCGAGGAGCACCATCTGAAATTTTGACAGATAACGAAGCAACTTTTAAAACTGAGGAGTTGAGAAGTTTCCATAATGGTTGGGGAGTGCGCATTAGGTTTCGAGCTGCTTATTATCCCAAAGGAAATGAAATTGTGGAAATAAATCATCGTACAATTAAGAGAATTGCAGAAAGTTCAAAAATGTCAATGCCGGAAACAGTGTATTGGTACAACGTCTCAGCCAACAAAAACAATGCAAGCTCGATGGAGAAAATTTAGAGATATCGGAGTAATGTGAAAGGATTGAGAAAAGATAATCTTCCGACAAAAGCTGACAAAAATGAAGTGTTTAAAAACTGTGATAATGTTTGGTTGAAACCGTCAATTGCGAAGTGCCATACTAAGTGGCAGCCAGCAAAACTAACAGTTTTGCTGTTATGTAAAACAAATCCGATATCGAAATAACATTCAACCATGCAATATTCCTAAAGTGAACGCAGACGGTGGTCAAGATAACGCGGCAAACCATGGTGACCTAATGAAAAATGTGTTGGAGACAAGCGAAGGAGACGTGTTAGAAGAAAATGGTGAAGCCGAAAATGGATTCCAAGAAACAGCGTCTTTACCACGAAGTACTCGAGAACGACGCATGCCCCAAAAATACGACGATTATTATTTGTATGATCCGTAAGGACCAAGGAGGAGTGTAAATAAAGTGGAGAAAGTTCTAGAACATTCTAAGAGAATTACGTGGTTTGTTTTACTAATAGTTTTTAATTATTTTAATTGTAGTTATGTATTAAGCGGCTTTTGTGATGTTGATTTTGTGGGTAAATATATTATATAAATGGATGTAAAACTTTTGTAAGATGAGTTGAATTCAAGTTAATAAAAAAATTTTAGGAAAAAAAAAAGTTTTGTTTCGAGCAAGAAAATTAAATAATTAGAGAGCCATTATTGATGTTTTTAGGAGTGATACTTGACAAAAACGCGACATGAAGAAAACACATAAGAGCAATAAAAGATAAAACTTAAAAAAAAATTGGCTCATGATACAAAGCCAAGCATTTATTAAACCAAAAATACTTAATAATATTATATTCCTCCCTCATATATTGTTATATAGACAATCAAAAAATCTTGCTTTTTGCAGCGATGGTGTAAATAAAATTAAAAAACTCCTTAGTAGATAAAAATACACTGTCAGAATTATTATAAGTACAG